TGCTCTCACGTTCTCGCGTTGCAGCTCGGCTCGTATCAGATGACGACTGATCCTCGAGATCGGTTTCCGCTTTCGACTCGACCTTCGCGCGGAGTGCTTTCGATTCCTGCACTTTCGGCACCGCTCCCTCTTTCGACGACGTGGGCGATTTCAATTCCATCGTCGACTTTACCTCGGGCTTCGTACCTGCCTTCGCACCGATCATCCTCTTCGGCGATATCTTCTCCGCGGAATCTTTTCTCTCTGCGCCGCTACTCAGACTCTTGGATATTCCTAGCGATTTTGGCCTCGATTTCTCGGATTTCACGCTCGTCGCCGCTGTAACCTTGATCATATCGTCGTCGACAGAGGCGGACTTTGCTCGAGTACTCTTGCTATCCTGCTTCTCCTCCTTCTCCTCCTTCGATGCCGAGTACACCTTCTCCGGTAACCGTGTGACAGACTTGGATCTACCTTTCTGAACGATACTTACTTCCGGCGCGACGTCCGTCGAGTCGATTATGATAATTTCCTGAGGCATCTCTCCCAACTTCAACTTGGATTTGTCGATCTTCGAGCTGGGCGTCGATACGCGTGACTCTTTCGAAGCAGTTTTCTTCAACGGTGGCTTGTCACCCTCGAGCGATTTAGACTGTTTCTTGAAATCCTTCTTCGGCTCCGGTTTCGCCTTCTTCGCCCTCTTGGGCGACACGTCTGGCACAAAGTGTTTGTTCTCGACCTCCGGCGAGAGCAACGTGTCGATCGGTGCTTTCTCTTCAGCCAACGATAACGATTTCGATCGTAGAGGTTCGCCGTGCGGTCTCGACATGAAAGGAACGAATTCAGGAACTTTAAGGCTGTCCAACTCCAACGCAGGTTTCACAGGCACTTCATCCAAAGGCAGATCGGCGACTGGGTCCACGAAATCGTCGAATCCGGTATCGATGATCTTCGGCTTGGCGATTTTCGCTTCGGAAAACTTCGACTCTATTTTCTCCAAGATGCGTTTCGTTTTCTCCGGAATGCTCGGTTTCTCCAGAGTTTTTGGTTTCTCAGGAACTTTCGGTTTCTCCGAGACTACGCTAGGAATTCCTGTTTGCGCTACTTGCTCTTGCTCCACCATCTCAAGCTGCGACTGTGATGATGGCTGTGACGGTGGCTGTGACGGTGGCTGTGACGGTGGCTGTGACGGTGGCTGTGACGGTGGCTGTGACGGTGGCTGTGACGGTGGCTGTGACGGTGGCTGTGATTGTGGCTGTGATTGTGGCTGTGATTGTGGCTGTGATTGTGGCTGTGGCTGCTGTTCCTTCTCGTTCTCTTCTTTTCTCAGTTTTTCAACTACACCGGCCATTTCTTCTCCCGATGTCTTCCGACTAGTATAATCCATAGGCAAAGCCTTTTCCAACGGTTCCGTTTCCTTCTCTGTACCAAGCTTTCCAATCGTCTCAGTCTCGGCCGTAATTGGCTTAGGAATTTCGGGTAAAGGTATCTTTTCGATACTGTCTTGCTTTTCCAAACTATCATCCGGCGTTTTCAGACTGTCCTTCTCCATCTCGGATTTAGCCTTACGCTCGAGTTTCATCTTCATTTCCATTCCGACCACGTCTGCGAAATTCAAAGGCTTCATCTTCGAATCCAGCGACCTTTGCACGTTTCCGATGCTCTTCGACAATTCCGACGGTGATCGTTTCTTCTGTATCACGGAAACGATGGTCACGTTCGGATCAGTTGGTGATACCTTGGGCGACCGTTTCTCCATGGCTGTCACGATGGTCACGTTCGCCTCGATAGGCGACAATTTCGACTGCGATGGTTTCTTGTCGAGACTGGACGACTTGATGCACGGCCGATCTTCCATCGCCATCTCTGTTCGATTTTTATCCAACGACACGGATCTCAAAGGTTGTTTATCTGGCGAACTTGCCGGGAGAGTCTTCGAACCTGCTTTAGATGGGCTTCTATTTGTTGGAGAGAAACTGCAAACTACGTTCTTCGCGTCGGTCGGCGACAATTTCGATGTAGGACTTAAAATACTTTTTCGTTTGTCGGACGGGCTCGAGAGTATAGATCTAGGCCGCGTAGGCGTGATCGAAACGCTCTTGGATTTGTCTGGCGACAGCTTGTTGCTAGGCTTGTCTATCGAGGTGAGTTTGGAGAGATCGAAACAGGAAATATCCGTAATCATTTTTAAAGGCAACTTGGGAAGATCTCGAACGACGCTGGTTTTCTTCGAGCTGGTTTTGCCGCTATCCGACTCGGACTTCTCGTCAGACGCAGTACCGTTCATAACGTGTCGCTTGTGCAACGTGTAAGGTATTTCGATGTTCGCCTTCTGTATGGTTGCGCTGTCCGAAAACGGATCCTCGTCACCGGAATCGGCTGGAGTTAAGTCGATCGACTTTTGATGCATCAGTATGTGACGTTTACTGTTCGAGCCTAACCTCTGTCGTGCTGGATTCGGATCGCTTTTAGTACGTTCGACGGGCGTATGACTCGATATCGTATCATCGAAACCTAACACTACACCTCCGACGATCTTCGGTTCGTACTCGGAGAACATGGTCTTCGACTTCAAGTTTTCCATTTCCATCGGCACACCAATTACCGTGTCTGTCCTCGACTCTATCGAGAGCCTCGCTTGACGTTCCCGCTCGCGTTTCTCCTCGTCCTTACGCGCCTTTTCCAAACTCCTCCAGTCGTCCCTTTCGCGCGGCTTCTCCTCAGACTTGCCTCTCTCCGTTCGCGCCTTGCTTTTCCTCGATTCCTTGTACTCGATCCTCTCTATACTGCTTCGCCTCCAGTCGTACATCTCGTGTTCCATGTATTCCAAGCTTCTTCCACCCCCTCCACCTGCCCCTACCCTCGAATCGAACCGATCCAAGTGTTTTCGTTCACGCGAATCTAGCCGGTCCATGTGCCTGCGTTCGCGGGAATCCAACTTCTCTAAGCTCTTTCGTTCCATACTCCTCATATCCGTTTTCCTATCGTGGCCTCTCTCCTTCGAAACGTTGTTGCATCTCTCCAACGACTTCAACCGTTCGATCGTAATAGGATCGAAATCAAAAGTCGGCTTCTCCTCAGAGTCTAACCTCTCGACGCTCATTCCCTTATAGCTAACCGTTCGAACGGACTTTTATTCCCAGAGTCGAAACGCTCTAACGTATGCCTCTGATTGTAATCGACCGTGCTGCTTCGACTCGTCGGACTTTTCTTTTTCTCCTTCGAATCTAACCGTTCCACGCTTCTTTCGCGACGTTCCCTAGACTCTGAATACCGATGACCTATCCTCTCCTTTGGACTTCTATTCAAATACTCCGTACTACCGCGCAGCCCCTGAGAATCTAAACGCTCCACGCTCTTTCCGCGTAACTCGTAAGGATCACCGTGACGGAACAACGACCTCTCCTTCGAATCCAGCCTTTCGTAACTTCTTTCTCTAACGTCTAACCTTTCGATACTCCTTCGCAATTCTCGAGCATCTATCATACGATCGACGCTACGACGACTGTACGTGTCCGACTTTCGATCTCGCGAGTCTAATCGTTCGATCGATCGACGCTCCCTCGAGTCGCTCTTCTCCATCTTCTTACTGTACTCCCTCGAATAATCCCTTTCCACCCGTTTTCTCTCTTCCCGATCTATGCTTCTCCTTTCTTTCTCTTGTAATTTTGCTAACGTTTTCTCGAGCTTCGTCCCATTTTCGCGATTCAATTTTCGGTCTCTAACACCACTACCATTACCAACGCTACCATTACCAACGCTACCATCACCACCACCACCACCACCACCACCACCACCACCACCACCACTACCACTACCACTACCAGCACCAACACCAACACCCCTATGACCCCGACCTAAACTACCCGTTTCTACATATGCACGTGATATATGATCTTCCAAACTTGCTATACTGCGTGCCCTGACCGTTCTAGCTCTGTGATCTACGATCGTCCTATTAGTCGAGTCTACCGGGCTCAAATCATCGTCTATCCGCGACTTTGGACGCATGATACCCTCGTCCCGTAAAATTTCCGAATCTACGTGAGTGATCTTGTACTTGGGCTTCAGGCTTTTCAACTCGTTAAGCACGGACATTTTTTGTTTATGAACTTGCAACACGACTGGATCTCTTTTCCCGGATTCCTGATGGGGAAGAGGAAGTTTACACGGTTGCTGCTGCTGCTGCTGTTGTTGTTGTTGTTGTTGTTGTTGTTGCTGCTGCTGTTGTTGTTGCTGCTGTTGTTGTTGTTCTATCGAATTAGCATGCCGCGTCTCAAATTTCCGCTCGATTTGAGTACTAGATCGTTGTATTCGAGACTCGACGGTGATATAGTCACCTTCTGGTTTCGCGGTCACAGCTGAGTACCGATCAATGGACTTTGTTCTAGCGTTCTTAAGATCAGCGAGCACGGATTTGAATTGCTGCTTGTCCGAAGACTTGATGGATCGATGCTTGACGAAGGAATCGGTCTCGGAATCCATTTGAAACATTTCGTGCTCGATTCCTTCGTCGCTTCTATCGGACATTGGCTCGTTCTCGTCGTCATCGTCTCGTGGACTCGAATACGATTCTGGGTATTCAAATTCGTGCTCGCGTTCCAAAAGCTCGTAAGAATCGTGCGAAAGATCGTCATGGGAGAGATCTCCCGCGGGACCAGACTCCTCGTGGCCAGATTCAGTGGACAGTGACGAAGTTCCCGGATAGGAGCTGCTATATACACGCTCGGGTACCGAGTCGTGATCGAGTGAGGGTAATTTCGAGCTAGCCGCGCTGTACGATCGATTACTCTCGTCGTACCGTGTTACGGGATTATCTAATTCACCCTGGGAAGGTAGGCGGAAAGGTTCCAAAACAGGATCACCGCAAGTTTTGTCGTCTTTCGATCGCGCTTTCCCTGAATCCTCGAAGCTAGAAGCATACAATTCGCGGCAACTGGCCGATCGCTGCCAAGGATGTCTAGGCATAGGTCGCGGTGGGGGAAATTCAGGAGGACTGCTGTTAGAGGGGCTGATACGACCTGCTGATGAAATCCGTTGCTGGCTGGCAACAAGCATCTGCCGCGGTGCTGGGACCTGGCTGGGGGTGGCCGGGGAATGGACGTCGATGGAGGTAAGTGTCCGAAACGACGTAGCTGTGTCTTCGCGACGGTGAATCGTCCCTCCCATCGAGACACTCGTCACAGTCGTCGGAGAATCCAGTGTCATCGAGCCGCATGATAGAGACAGAGCTGGGGTTTCCAGGGCTGAAATTATTATCCTCTTTAACTTTCACTTTCGTTTTCCACTTACTCCCACTCCACGCAAACCACTACTTTCATTATTTCTCCCAATTTCTCACCAACCATTCACCTTCCCTCTCTTAACCCCCTCCCAGAATTTCTCTTATTGCTCCATTATTTCCTCTCCTTACGTTCTTGTTCCATTCGACTTTTCTATTTCGAAAGATCTTCGAATGCCTCGACCACTCGAATCGACCACTCCAAGATCTTTCTTCAGGCGAATCGATACATCGACATTGTCTTTTTACAGCCTCTTGCGAATATACCTCCCGTTACATTCATTTTTCTTTCATTTCTTTCCCTTGGCGAAACGTGAACGAGCCGATAAACTCCAGATAATCATTTTTCAAAAGCGTTCTATTGGCAATACGCTAACTCTACTATTCTCTACTCTTACGATACTTTATGTACGATACTTGGAATGAAAAATAACGCTAGGGAAAAAACAAAAAGAGAATAGGAACGAAATGAACTCAAGAATGAAAATGGGAGAAAGGAGAAAGACGATAGAAAAAACTGATCGAAAAGAAAGAAGAAAAGAAAAACGAAATAGAGGCAAAGAGCGAGGGTATGAAAAAGAAAGCATTTTTCGTGGAGGTTGGTGTCGGTCATGGTACATACCAGGATCGCCGAGGGGCAGGAGGGGGTGGGCAGAGATGCTGGAGCTGCCCATAAGGGAGCTGCTTGGTGTGGCCCCACGATAACCTCCCCCCTCCAAGCCCTGCAATGCCCTACCACCGCTAGTCTGCCGGAACGAATTGGACCTGCGAGCAAGAGAGAGTCAAGTTCAGCATCAGACTTAGGCTACCAAATGCCAAGCCTGTTCAGAACTAACTAATGTTTTTCGCATTTTCTTCCGCCTTCCTATCATCTTTTGTAAGATAGTATCGTTTCGTAAGAAAGAAACCGTTATCGTTTCAAGGGCCTTTCTTTTCTTTCTCAGTCTCTCTTTTCCCCCTCTTTCTCTCTCTTTCGCTCTCTCTTCCGCTCTCTCATTCTTCCCCCCTCTCTCTCTTTCGTTCTCCCATTCTCCCCCCCCCCACCCCCTCTCTCTCTCTCTCTCTCTCTCTCTCTCTCTCTCTCTCCCCTCCTTTCTCTCCTCTTTTCTTTTAATTTTATATTTTTTTGTTATGTTTCCTTAATGTTTTCTATGAAAAGGAATGTTGCGTGTCGCTCGCGTCCGCGATATCTGCTACCCCCGTATCGTGATTATAAAAGAATGCTCAAATAATCGATTATGCCCTCAAAACGATAAAAAATTACATTACGTTAAGCAGGAAAATATGAATCAAAGTAATAATAATGATAATTGTTAGCAGGCAATCTTACGAAAACTATTTTTTTGTACATAAAATACCATATTATCGGTAAAGATCCCCTCCACTATCCCCTAGAGATCTTTCCTCATTTAACTGAACAATGTTTCTACATCCTGTGTTTACAGTTTTCCATTCAAGACTCAACGATTTTATAAACTAGTTGTATACTCTGTACGCAAAACTATTAACTAACGAATTTTCGACAAATCAGCACGCTAAGATTATAACGCTACGCGTAAACGATTTGCACACGGGTATACTCGTTATCTTCGCATGCTCGATTCTCGCACACACGGAGATATTCGATAAAAATGTGCACATAAATGGCAATGAATCTATCGGTGAAACACAATGCTCTTTGTTCTAAGGGCACGTTATTTAGTAACGTTATCCGACTAAACATCGATATTGTGTGATAAAGAATCGTGTATACCTGTTAACTGTATGTACAAGGATGAAATTATTATAAAGAAAGTAATCTATTCTCTATTGTAGAGCAGGCTACTGCTATGGATAAATATTTGATTGGTAAAGATTCGGTCGGGACAGTGAAGTATGGTACCTTTGCAGTGTATATCATTAGGTGTTACAACGACGAAAATTAGTGACCACACTATCAAAAAGAGGGTACATTGATCATTCGGGTTATCGTGCCTGATGGTGAGCCTGACTCCCCGCCACCCCTGTCCGAGCAGGCAACACTGACACACGAAAGTACAAAACGAACAGAGTAAACACTTCATTCTACTTAAAATTGGAACAACGATAGACATGATAAATACCAATTAATGTCCCGGCAAAAGCAAGACCGTGCCACCTCCTGTCTTACCCACGCAAGATTTAGTGCGCTCGTTAATTAAAATATATCTCAATGGTATAAAACCAGCATTAAAGGGGGACAGTACATAACGATACGCATGCACTATCTACACATTACTGGTATATCCAAGAATTTGTTCAATCATAAAACGATATTTCACGCCGCTACTCAAACTTACCTTTGAAACGTCTGCCTCTTCACGTAATTGTCCCGTACAAATTCTACGATTTGCTTCTGAGTTTTCCCGCTATACCTGATAACGTAATATTGAAAAATTTCAATAAATCGATTTAAACATATCGATAAAAAGAACCATTATCTTTTTCTCTATTCTATACACGCACATTGCGTAACATGAAATCATTTTTGGTGCAAATTCACATACCTAAATGACGAACCACGACTGAGAACACGCGTTTTCTGCCGTACCACTCGTTTAACCACCGAACAACGGAAAAATCCATGATTCTCTACGCACTTTTTCCAAAAATTTTTACACTCGTTGCGACCTTCGAAAAAGAACTCCACGGTATCCTTGTAATAGCCCTACAATCGTTATGAAAAATAAATCCTCGAACACAGCTTTTCAAATTCATTTCGCCATTACTTGTATCTTCTAACTTGTATCTAAAACTTACATAACCCTCTGGATGGAGTTTAATTAAAAATCGTTTCCTTTTAAAACTGATTTTCCTGATTTTAGCCCAACTGAATGTGTTTATTTTGGTAAAATTTTGGAAAACTACTATCCCCATATGTGCCACTGCCAAATTCAATGGTACATCCTCGTGATCCTTCGATAACATATGAAATACCACGTTCCTGTATTCGTGCACGTAAAGTAAAAATTATATTTAACTTCAGATACTTACTTTAGCCGGATGCATTTTCATTCCGTATAATTCACAACGACGTGCTGTTTCTAACAGATTCAGGTCTGCTTCTGCCGGCGATTGCCCCCTGTTTATGAAACGTAATATTATCAACTCATTCGATCGAAATTTCATATTCGGGAAAAGTTAATCGAAAAAAAGACATCTTACGCGTGCTTCTTATGATTTTCCATAATACGGCGTTCTAATTCCTGATCTTGGCGAGGCACAAATTTGTAAGTTGATAAATACGTATGATCTGGATAATCCTCTATCACATAATCCCCACATTCGGCTAAAACAATTAATAATTTATTGCAAAATTATTTGACATTTTATCTTGAACTTCATTTTTAACAACTCCATCTTCAAATGAATTATTGTTACCCTGAACAATATAACTCGCCATCAAAGCTGCTGTATTATCATTGCATTGTAATAAACCTTGAGCTAAATCACGTTTGATTTGAAGGCAAAATAAATATCTTGTAAACTCTTCTTCCAATTGTGCTGGATCAGGGGTATAAAATTTAACACAGAATTTCAATAAAGGGTCTATCAGTGATAATCCAACTTGTCTACAAACTGGCTTCTCTAAATCTAACCAATACTGCAATTAAATAGCATCAGTCAGTACCGCAAATGTATACACGAATTTTTTATTGATTTACATTTACTGCTTCTTACTTTTGTTCCATTACGTTGTTCCTGATACTCCAAACCAAAATAATCAGCTTCCAAAAGATGTAGCTGTTTACAAACTTGATCAAATAACACTCTGCCTAAAGCTTTAGCCTAAAATTTAAATAAACTCAAAATAAAAAACAAATCTAATTATTTTGTTACAAAAAATTTTTAACATTAAATATTCTAAAGTTCACTCATTGCATTTTAAATTACTCTCTAAGATGACTGAAAATATACTTTAGATGTTGTGTATACATTTTATGAATAATCAATACATCAATACATCTACTGCATGCAATATAGTATCACCAATTATGTGCTCCAGTTGTTCGTTTAAAAGTATTATATGCGTAGGCAATATAAAGTAAATAATTTTTTATTGCAAAATAAACACATCAACAAACAACAATTTATAATATTAAAAGTACAAAATATAACTGTAGTTTTACAAAATGACAATGTGGAAGAAAAAAAATTCTTTTCTCTTCTTACAAATGAGCACACGCATTTTATGTCTCGGTTAAAGTTTAATATCAAATTGATTTCATACTCATTTGTTAAACAGATTTGTTTCCACAGATATAATCATGTTATAACATCAACCCAATATAATTTTTAATACTAATAGTTAAAGACATATTACAATCATTATAAAAAAACGCGATGAAAATAAATCAATGTAAACTTAGATAAATGTTCATCATTTTTAGAATCTTATATGTTACATTTATCTATATCAGAAAATAAAATTATCCTACAAGACTATTACAAATATTACCTGAACTTGAAACATTGTAATCGTATCATCCAACATCTGTACACGAACAGCAAGCATTTTACCAGCTTTTCTGGGTGTTGTGGGAGGAGTTCTACTACCTCCATCCACACCTGCCGGAGTCGAATGACTATGAGGCATCTTAGGTCCTCCACTGCCTTTCATGCTTATGCTTTCTATATCATTCATCTTTAGTCATCTACTGTGAATCGTAGAATGACCATCTATAACTTATTTTCTTATGGAAAATTTGATTTATAATTCACTATTACATTGTCATCTGTAACAAAACGTTAAGTATCACATGATATATTTACACTGGTAAAAAAGAATCGTTGTTTCGTTATCAAAAAAGAAAAATTGGATTAAATATAATATATCTTCCATGTAAATTTCACGTCGCTTTAACAACATGCAATATAAATGGTTAAGCAAGAAACATCGTTCATATTAAAATTAAGGGAAATTCTTATTTTTTACTTTCTCAGTCCGATATTAAATTACGTATCTACACGTTATCGTGAAATATATAGATTACATTTAATCGTATAAAACTCTTTCAAAAAATGCAAAGAATTTTGTAACGGTATTACGACGACAAAAGTATATCCGCAAAACATTAAAAGTCAAAGATTATGGGTTATATAAAGAGTAATTAATCGAGCACTTGCTTATATCATATAATTTAAAAAAAGATTACTTACGTTTGTTTACATCATTCATAACGATATTGTGTGTTAAGTGTCACTTATCGTTCCACAATTCACTTTCGAAATATTTTACCGAGAAGACTTGACGATGTTACGTCAAGACTATGATTATACCGATTACACTACTAATCGAATAGTGCTAATGGAATACGTTAAGAGATTGGCTACAGTTGAAAGGGTTGAAAGTGTTGATTTGTCGAACAATGAGTGATCTTTAAATTCAAATAGATACTGATACTGTGAACCATCGCTTTATCGATTATACTAAACTATTAAATTTCTAATATAAGATATCAAATTACACTTCAAAGAAATAAATAAACTAACAGATCATTTTAAGAAAAAAGAAATTCATCGTCCATGGTGAAGCAACATTAAGTATGAGAAATCGAACAAAAAAAGGCGGGGCTTGAGATCTTTAAAGGGAAAGAATCAATCAAACTGCATTATGAAACAATAGAAAATGTTGCAACTTTTCGTACATACATCTACCGGCTTAATAAGACCAGTGGCAGCACGCCCCAATATACAGCAACGCAGAGTTCATTGATCACTAAACACTCATGCACCGGCACTCCCGTTGTGGAATCGTTTTCGTGACACTCGTGACGTTAATAAGTCGTTCAGCCCACTACTACTACCCCGAACATAGATTTCATGAACGATCTCTATATATCCTCGAGTGACGATCGAGGAAGTCTCCAAATTGAACCACATTACACACCTACGGAGCGCACGTCTCCGCCTTGGCATAAATTATATGAAACGTCAGTGGTTCTCAGCATGCAACAAATAATAGAACTATTCATTGATAAACTAGCACATACGACACATTTGAACGTGACAATCCGCATTCGTGAAAAAGTGAAACTCGACTTTTCGAAACATACCTTGAACAACTCGAGTCCGATAGACAACTACTGGCATTGCTTGTATAGCGCGCGATGCACGCCAAGGGCGGAGCCACACGAAAAGACACAAACAGCGACATCCACGAGAAAATTCGAGAACTCGAATCGCTTAAAAACAACTTTATTGTATCATAAATATAACAAATCGTTCATTTTCTATCCTTTTCGCTATTTACATAGATATTTTGATAATTAAAGACGAAAAAGAAAATGAGCCGATATTTTTCTTCAATATTATACGTTTATTCGTATTTACCTTTCCCGTATTCGTATCTCCGAGAGATACTCTGTATCTCTGATAGGGAAAGGCTGTGCCTTGCTTTTGCGCACAGCTAAATTTTCTTATTTCGAACGACTCGTAAGATGGCGCTCCATATCTAAACGTCATGGGAACTGTCAATTCTCGTATCTACCAGTCCAAACCGCAAATGTCAAATCAACGAAAATAAACAGTAACATTTTTTGTACTTTTATTTCCTGTAAATGGTGAGTACGGTGTTAAAATTGTTACAATGTGTAAATATAATACAATCCGAATTGCTGTGACGATGTGTGAATAAGCCTAAAACATTGGTACGATTTTCTTCTCAATTATGTTTGAAAAGAACATCAGTCAATTATACTCGAAAAAATCACGATTAACAGCAATTGCTTTGATTGTAACTAATTTCTTATAAAATTCATGAAAATAAAATTCCTTGTTTATTCATAATTCTATAGAATGTTCATGTTTCAGGATCTAAAGACAATCTTCTTAATGTGATTTTTATGTACTTTATGTACTTGATATTGAAGAAAAAATGTCAGACGAAGAAGATACCGCAATATTGTTAAACAGTGCAAATAAAACCATTGAAACATCTATAAACAAGATTTCAAATGATTATCAGTGTTTACCACCAAAAAATTTAAGGAAACCGCTTCCAAAACAGAATGATAACTTAACACCGTTAACATCAGGAAATAAAAGTATTTTTGTTTCTATGGTAGCAATTTTAGCAGGCATAGCTTTTGGAAGCGATATGGGTATTGCAAAACCTATAGCTCCTCTGATCAAACATGAATTTAATTTAAACTGTTTCGAAAAAGATTTTGTTATAAGTATTTGGTTTGTTGGAGCTCTTGTTGGTGGTTTAACTGGTGGTACGTGCGAAGAGATTCATAAAATTTTAGAAGATAAAAGTATAAAAACTAACAAAATGGATAAGATTAACAATGTTTTATAGGCTTTCTAATCGATTCATTTGGTCGACGTTGGACAATGATATCAACGTTAGTTTTTCTAACTTTTGGCGCCACGTTATCAGCTTTGGCGAATCATTACATTTTATTACTTGTTGCTCGAATAATTTGCGGATATTCTGGATCTGTTTCGGCAGTAGCTCACTGCATATACATGGCGGAAGTATCCGAACCAAATAAACGTGGATATAATATAATGTTGTATCAATTGGGCACAGCTACTGGATTTTTAATTTCTGTCATTGCTGCTGCTATAAAAAATATAGATTATCAGTGGCGATTCTCCATTGGCATAACAGCCGTTCCCGCTTTAGCTGCTTGTATCATAACCATTATATTTCTTCAACGATCTCCGCCGTTTTTACTTTATAAAAGAATGGCAAATGTTTCAAAGACATCGTCGAAGAAAGCTTGGTACGCAATCTTTGAGACTTTAACTATCATGGCTCTTTTACTGGTATTACAACAAGGTACTGGTAAACGACAAGTCCTATATTATGCACCAAGATTGTTCGCGTTATTAGGCATTTGTTCTAGTAAGTTTCAAACTTATTTCTTCCTTTTTCCTTTTCTTTTCTACAATATAAAGATTTCTTTTTTCCTTTATTATTTTCACAGATGTTGCAGAAGTCACAGCTTTAATATCACTCGGAATTGTGAAGGTGTTTAGTACGATGCTATCTCTGGTTATAGTGGAAAAATGTGGACGTCGAACAGCTTTAATTACATCGGCAACTATTTGCATGACGACAATATCATTATTATCTTTGCTTGCTACGATAGATAGGGGTGACGATAATTTAGATATTGCAAATAATCATTGCAAAAATTATCATAATGACGAAATGAAAATTCACACCGTTTTACCTACTGGATCACCGCCGCCGTTTCCTTTACTACCGACTCCTTTAGCTATTACCGCACCCAGTCCAGAAACATGGACACAAATTAAAGCGTCTTGCGAAGTATATTTTTATTATTTTTATTATGTTTACGAGTATTAGTGGAATTTGGTTGAACTATTTTTATTTTATTACAGACACAAAATATTGCTGTTTCCGAGGGTTTAACTGGTGGTTTACGTATCTTAGCAGTAATAACATTACTTGTATACGAAGCGGCATATGCTTTAGGACTTGGATCAGTACCACTTTTAAATTTTACAGAGGTTTTTCCTGCAGCGGTTCGAGGAAAATGTGTTAGTTTTGTTTCCATTGTAATATGGATAACGCATATTATTGCCACGGAATCCGTCAGTGCTATGACCAGTAAGTTAACATTATGTAATTGAAGCGATATGTATCATTTCTCACTCAACATATGCTTATAATTATTTTTCTTTCAGAATCATTAACGTTAGCCGGATCTTATTTATTTTATAGTTTTATGTGTCTCGTTACTATATTTTATGTTTTTCTATTTATTCCCGAAACAAAGGGCAAGTCTCTGCATCAGATTGCCCAAGAATTACGGAAAATTTCTCTTGGAACCCGGATATGTAATAATTTACGTAGTTTACCACTCATTTGTCATAGTCAATGGATAAAGAAATATGACGGTAATGTAAGTAACGGGCAAAGTACCCTAATTTGAAAGTAAAATCCCGACGGTAAGAAATATTGGATCACCTCGTAATGTCGTCGCAGTTTCTTACCACTGGGTGGTTAAAAAGTCAAGATCATTAATAAATTACAGGGAGTTATCAGGATTGTTTTTATATCAGTTTAAACTTCGGCATTTTATAAAAGAAAGAAATTCAGAAACGTCGTATTTCTTTTAGAATGAACAATTTAGAAACTGCGATGACTTTTCGAATATTCCAATTATCATATGTAATCTCCGTATGTCTACGAAAGTATTACAAATAATACTAACTTTATCACGTTTTGAATGGATTATCGATTTAAATACAAATTTACAAAGCTCATTACTCCTTTATACGATATTGTGTTCATCAGGCACTTTATGTAAGAGTAACGTATATACGCGTACTACAATAAAATTTTCTTAACTGCCGATTATTACAGAACATATCACACGAACATAATAAGGAACGTCGAAATATGTAAACCATTCTCGATACAAAAGACTGACTAGTTTTTTAATTTCATCTGTTCATTTTCATTTCAATTTATTCAATAAGATATTATTAATAACAATTTTTTTGATAATCTACACATGATTTCTTTTGATATTATTAAATGATATATAATGCAATCACCTTTATGAAAAGTTTAATTGAAAAGATATAATTATTTAGTACTAGATGAAGTATTAGAGTAGATACTTTAAACTGGATATTTTATAGTATAACGGCAGATTAAATTACGTTTAGAAATGCATACCTTAGAGGTTTGAATAAGGAAATGTATGTTACATAATATTTACAATTTCGTAATAAGAATAGTATTAATTTTTTTCTTTCTTTTTTTTTATTGCATGTATCGCTAGACGTATAGAATTCTTTAAATATCAACATTTATCACATTCATTTGGATATTCATCACGATTTCTCTACAGATAACAATAATGTGCAATGTTCTTCGGTGCCATTTAAAGTAAATATCACTATGTAAAAAATCTTTTATTATACATAACATTGCTGTATATAAAAATAATTTTCATATGTATAATTATTGCAGATTTACAATATTGTAAAATGTAATATTGTACTTGGCAACGATACAGTTGGTTTATGTACTTAATAAAACGTATAGAAAATATAATTCTCTTGTTCCTTATATGTAAAAATAGTATTCCTCCCAAATAATTTGTTCCAGTTTTATGTCCTTGACTTGTAAACCTGCACATTTCACGTATTGCGTGATAAATTCAATCTCTGTACTATATATACATTATTCTTATTTCTTTCTTCACTTATCTATTGACTAAAATTAATCGCGCGAATACGGTAAAATGATACATTTTATGAAATAAAATTACATACCACTCTCGCAAAATTGATTTATCCTAACAAAGAAGTACATTTATTGTATTATGTCGCTATTGCAATCTTATTTTTGGAACCATTAGAAACATTATTGCATTACACAGATGCTTTTATAACTTCTTCACAGTAGATCCACTGAAAGACTTTCTTTTATTCCAAGTTAACAATTTCGGGGGAGATAAAACCTGTTCCAAAAATATGTGTCTTCTTTCTTTTAAGTTTAAGTCATTACTGCACAGGGACTTATCATTTTCGTAAATAAGATCAATACTCTCTCGATTTGGATGGGACCTATCGTTCGAAGTATACTTCTCGTGGCTGACTTTAAGTGACGCGATAGGAGCCAAATTCTCTTTGTCGTGCCTTGTACAATCGGACGACTTTTTTAGAATTACCGAAACATTTTTCTTCGATACATCCAATTCCGAAGGAACAGCGGACTGCCCGATTTTGATAGCGTTATTCGGCGTAACAACGTATACCAATTGCGACTTTGATTCAAACTTCTCTTTCAACAGAGAAAATTTTCGTTTCGGATAATTAATCGGTTTTTTACGTTTATCGTAGACAGATTCTAATTTGTCCGCGTTATCGGAATTCGATTTTACTGAGTGCGTGGAAATATTTGGCGTAATGCCTGGTCGCTTAACATCTGCGTAATTGACATTCGTAATACTAGAGGATACCGTCTCGGATAAATTATTATGTACAACCTTAACATTTTCAACAGGTACCAACGGACTCATCTCAACGTACAGATCGTTTTCCTTCGAATCAGATTCGTCTTTTCGACACGCGATAGAAACTTGTTTCTGTAGTTTAGCTTTGTTCCCTAATATCGGCGAATCGGAAAGTATCGCATCTATCAAAGGTGTTTTCTTAATCGACTCTATCGTACAGTATTTGACTAAATCTTTGATAGTATCTATTTCGCATTTTCCACGAACAATCGACTCCGATTCGTCCAAGCAGTTGATGTAATTTCTGTTACACGTGGCGGTATCTTTGAGATCATTTTTAAACAATGCTTTTGTGAGTTGCGCCTTTTTTATCAAATTCTTCGGATCAAAGTCTTCCCATTGACTGCCAGTGGTATGATATACGTGCCTAGGAGAATTTTCCGCCGTATATTTCCTGATTTGATCAATGGTGCTAACTAATGTACTAACCGAGTCGCAACCGGGTCGAGTATATTCAAATTTTTCTTCCGTAGTAATTTCATCGTGCTCCTCCAAGATAGTATCCAGCGCGAACATTCCACCTTTATCATCTATCACTACAGGTTTCGCGATGTACAGCGTAGGGTTTTGCTCGTCTATATCGGAGATTCTTTTCGTAGAAATATCTTCGTTATATACCGTTTTTAATTCTCGAGAATCTATCAGATCATACGTGAGCGTGTCGAGATAATCGTCTTGCTTTAAAATTCCTCTTAACACCGAACTCGCACATGTTGTGTCGGAGAACTCCGAGCTGTAAGTGGTGCCGGTAGTGGTACTCGTTAAAGTGTCTCTTCTTCTATCTCTGACAACGCTATCGTCATGAATGTAAGTTTCGATATCCGTATATCCTTTCCAACTACGAATGCACCATGGTGGCCTAGCCACACCGAGCGGACAAACATTCTCGTAATCATGGATCGAAGTAACGCAACTCATTGTTTCATCCCGTTGTTGTAACTCTTTTGACAATTTCCCCGGTTCCTCTGTTGAAATTTTCTCGCAAGTATCGTTAAAAATCATCGGAGTTTCCAGTCTGTCTCTCAGCATTGTAATACTGCTCAAATTGTCGCAGATATTGCTAAGGGAACATTCCTCTAACTCATCATGTTTCGTACTTACATCTGAGACTAAATTTCTATTTGGTGTGATCTTTTTCTGAACATCGTTCTCCATTTCGAGAATAAGCTGATTCGAGAAACAAATACCCCGTCTCTTTTGCAATGGAAGACAAGTGTTTTGATCTTTTGTTGATACATCTTTATCTATGTCTAATCCATGGGTTGTTGGCAAACAAATGCCCCTGCGTTTCTGACGATGGATATCTTTTTCGTTGGAATCGTTGCAATCGCTCTGAATTTCGAGGTAATCGCAGGTATTGTCAGTGACAGAAAATGCATTTTTCGCTAAACCGCCAGACGATGTACTATCGTCTTTTGAAAAGTTGTTGTGCGCCGACTCGCATTCCGAAACAACACGAATAGCAGTTGGTGATTCGTTTTCAATTTGACAGTTTTGATTGATAATACCATTTTCCGCGCATTCCGAGTTCTGTACGATGTTTGTTAATAGAAATTGTTTATCTGTCGTGACTTCCTCAGAAGTAGACCTCTGAGAATGATCCATAGAACAGGACGACGACGCGAAAGAATTAGGATAATACTGTTTGAAAGATCTAGGAGTGACAGCTTTGTTGGTTACGATTTCAGACCTTTCATCGGTAGGGTTGGGTATAATACCAATTTTTGAGGGATGAAATTTTCCATAATAAAATGACATACTCGTCAAGCCAATCATCATTCCTCCAATTATTAAACCGGTCATTATCGCTATTTCCACGGTTTTTATCGTATCTTTAAAACATAACACGAAAACGATTAAAAAAGCTATGTTTTCTATTACAATGATAGAATAAAATACAAATACTCTATATCGAGATTTGCCTACACGTAAATTAAAAAAATCGAAGCAATAAATAAATCCTATAATGCAATTATAAATACGTTCTTCCCATACAGTTGGGCAAAAATCTGTGTTTTGGAGAAGTACCCAAATGGTCATAAAAAGCCAGTGGAATCCTGTAACATTCAGAGTGGAACACGCACTACGTCAAAGACATAAATCTATTTTGAGCAATCTTGTTAGCTCACTCACACACTTACCAAGAAACAATAAAGACCATTCTCTCAAACAGATTGCTGTTAAAACCAAAACAGCTATTCTGGATATTAACATTCCAGTTCGCCAAAGACCCTGAAGAGTTAGTACTACCCATGTTGCTTCATTATGGCCAGGATTTATTTTGTGCATAGCTTTTGTATATGTACCTATAGCCCAGCTCAACGAACAAAAGGAGACTATGGCAGATAGACCTATTTAATTATTTATTTAAAAATGTATTAAACATCGTTGGTTTCCTGATACTAAAGATAATTATCATTTGTATTCATTCAAAGTCTTTGGTCAGTGACAGTGACAGTGGAAGCCATATTATTTTTAGCATTTCAAACACCCACCCTACCAAGAGAACAGAATATTATTTTTAAAGTTCCAGTGCTGTAAGCTTCCTAATAGGATGCTTAAATAGTAGTAGCTATATAATTGGTTTCTAACAACAAAGCAGATTACATTCTACAGGAAGATAGAATATTGTCAATGATATCTGCCTCTGTTATCTATGGGGGCGGACCAAAGGAAGTGAAAATATGCAGTCATTCAATTTCAGAGTCCCTTTAAATTCTTCAAATTATACTATCTCTGTGTTCAAAGTATTATTACTTTCAAAAATTCTTCAAATATAACAATTCAAATGAACAATAGCTGTACTGTTTGAAAATGAAATGTATGCATGTTTTTACTAACATGTTCTCAGGGTTACAAGTAAGTTCCTTCTTATTTAATACACTTATTAAAATAAGAGCACTTACATTAAATACATATTACTTTTCTACAGAGGCAACTTACATTATTAAAGTTAACTATGATATTTGTTATAATATTTATGTCATTCGTATTATTATTAAGTTTGCTATGTAATTCGTGTTTATATGCAAGTAAACACGTAAAACATGATGCAAATTACATCAGTAACGAAAATTACAAGCATAATAATCTAGTAAGCAATAAATCTACTATAGCCATGTTCTCAATAGATGAAATGAAAAATATAAGAGTGCAATTAAATTCTAGAAAAAGTAAATTAGAACAATATTGTAAAACCATTGGTAGAACAAGCTCAAACTTGGATAATGTATTATCAAACATGATTATTGATACGTAAGTACAACACAATTTGCTGCATTTATTACGTTGTAAAATGCGAATTTATTAAAGTTTATATCGTACAGAACACATGGATTATCATGGTGTCCTATATACAAAGCAGCAAGTTCTACATGGATGAAGCATTTTGCTATACTTGGAGGTGTATTAACAGAATCAGCCATGGAACTGATTCGTAAAAACATTTTACAGATTAATACAATTGTTAGAAAAGCATTTCCTCGTGATCGAGATGTTAAGAAAGTATACCAAGTATGTGATATACAGAGAATACAAAGGTAGCAAAATACAATGTATGATCATTTTAATGCAGAACATTCCAATTGCAGAAGTTAAATACAACAACAAAATTTTTAATAGTGCGTCATCCAGTTGAACGTCTTGTATCTGCCTATAGAGATAAATTGGAACATATAGAAGGAAGAGATTATTATTATAAAAGATTTGGACGTCATATTGCGCATAAATACCACCGATATAGGAAGCCGAATGAAACAAAACTAGAACCCACGTTTACAGAATTTCTTCGGTTTATAGTAGAAGAAAAATATTTTGATGAACATTGGGCACCATTTATCGATACATGTGAACCTTGTTTAATTCCGTACAATTATATTTTAAAATTTGATACTTTTGATAGAGATCAAAAATTCCTAATACAAGAATTAGGTTTAAATGAATACCTGTATGAAAAAGATGATTTGAAAAATATAAATCCACGTGGAGTTACAACTACTGCTTTAGTTAAAAAATACATGCAAACTGTTCCTAGAACATTGCTTGATGAAATTAACAAAGTTTATGAAAATGATTTTAAGCTTTTCTCCTATTTACCCATATAATATCTTAAGATACTTCAGAGTAACAGTAGAAATAAAAAAGTGGTGAGCAATGACAGTTACACCTCGTTAATACAATTTGTGCAATAATAATCTCTACCATAAAATTAACAGCTTTTAAATTTTCTAACTGAGATAACTGTTTTATTTGTTCTTACTTGTCCATAGTGGTGTACAACGTAATACTGCCATGACATATAGTTGCAATATTAATTGTGGAGCAGCCCCCATAAAAGACTCAAATAAATGCAACATACATATATCACTTTCCTGTCTATATACCCAATTTTTATCCTTCACAAATCGTTTGCTCCTTAATGAATATATTGTAGAGTAAAGTAAAATTAAATACCTAGAAATAAAATTATTTGCCCTATCAGAAAAATCATATCAACTAACTGTAAGTTGACAGAAACAAACTTAGGTAGAAAGTAATACCTGTGTAATACTCCTAAAAATAAAAAATGTAACAACCAATGTATATTCTTAATAGAACCATCACTGTGATACCATCTCAAACTAAACATTTGAATAACACCTGCAGGTAATATCGTAAAACTCAAAGCAAAGCATCCCCAAACAAACTGGCCTTGTAAAAAGTATTCCATAAATACAATACTATCTATAACAAAAATGTTTTATAGTAACTTTCACATGTCTTTTGTATGTATATAATTGTTTAAATTATCATATTCATGTTATCGTTTCATAAAATGTAACTTATTCATCTTTTTTAATTCATGTTTGTCACTCATCTAAAAGTTAAAAAAAATTTTAATTACCATACAATGTAAGTGATTTTAAAAAAGATCTATTAATGAAAGCATACATTAATTATATACCATATCAAAAGTAAAGAAAAGCGCTGTAGAAATAGGGTGCAATTTTAAAATATAAGTTTTATATTATTATGATCGTAATTATATCATTAAAAAAATATATATATACAAGTACAATGCATATACATATATAGAAAATTGTAGAAACAGTAATATTCCATTTTACATATAGGATATATTAGACATACATTGATTTGTCAATGATCCTTTACAATTATTAATATATGTTCTTTACTAAATATCATTTTCCATTGAAAGATAGATATTTCTTTACGAGGTATGTATAGAATACTTTTATTCTTTGTTCACCTGTTGCTATATCGATGAAAAAAAAACTGACAGAAGTCAAATAGTAAAATAGGTCTAACAATCTAAATTGATAACATTCTATTTCCCTGTGTAATGTTATTGCCGATACATTTTTTTTCACAGTTTCATAGCACGAAATATTATCATGTTTTAACTCTGCCGCCGCCATCTTCCCGGCCATTCTCAATTTAATTTTACACAACAGATGAAAGAACGCGTTCCGAAATCAGCCACATACTTTCCACTTTTTTCTTTGTTTGCAAGCTTTTTTTAATTATTTATTATAAGACACTCTAAGTCATTGAATTTCTTTTTAATTTATCCTTTACTAATTTGTTCTTTCGAAAAATCGAATTGTTTTGATTCATCGAAGGAAAATCATGTACATGCATATGTATTTGCGCACGCGCACGCGTGTGTGTGAAGCTTGTAAATATGTATATGCATATGTGATACACATATAGTCGTTCGTAGGTCGTTTGTGTGCATGTACGCATTATATATAAATTTGATATGCACACGACCTATACACAATACGCAGGCGCATTATATACCTATGTTTTTCAACTTGACGGTGAAATAAAATATGGCGAGCATTTGATGACTAGACGTATGCGTACGATCTGGTGCTAGTTGTTTTTTGCTGACATACCACCGAAATAAACGTATTATTGATAACATGCCTACAGTTTAATTTTCAACGTAAATTATATTGAAATATAAATCAAGAAAAGTAGTAGTTTTTGTAGATATTAACCTTAGACAGGGGAAAAAATTTTACTCTGCATAGAAGTAAATTAATATTTTGAGCTAAATCGGTGATGCTAGTAATTTTGAAATCCTATTAAGTACTTTCAAGAATGCAAAGACAAATGGGGAAATATTGATGATATTTTTCAATCATTAAGAAATGATACTTTTCCATAAAATATTTATGTTTGAGATATATCAATAAGGCTTGTGAATCATTAAGTAAAATTAATCAACTTTACTACATTGTAAGTACTCCAGAAATTATCATCTGCTATTAAGTATATTAATTTGATTACAAAAGAAGTAATGTTAATTGATATTGTTGTTATTATTTTTCTTCAAAGAAGGAATAGGGATGTTATACTATTAAAAAGAAATAGAAACATCATGTACAGTTTTGAAGGAGATTATAGACGTAAACCTCAACAAAATTTAGCAGGTGCAAGTAGAAGAGATGGAAAGTCAGTTCTATTGCAGCATGTACAATTAGAACGTTTAAAACGAAAACAACAGCGGAAAAGACATAATGCAGTACTGAAAATACAAGCACTTACGCGTGGTTTCATAGTGAGAAAGCATATGAAAATGACTAAAAGGAAAGAATTTGATGAAGAACAACAAATAAGTGGCCGTAGAAATCTAAATCTAGATGAGTTAACAATATATTTTCAAAAATTATTGTTTTTCTACAATCACACTTTGGATGCTAGCAGACTAGTTTGGATACTACAACATTTTCTAAAACATCAAGAAGAAATTAAACAGAAATGTGTAAACTGTCCAGAATGGCTATGGAGGTTAAGGTAAATTTAAGAATATAGGAAAATACATCATAACTATCTATCATTTGGTATTTGATATAAAATCTGTTACATCCACAGATGGATTCTTCGTATGTGTATGCAACACAACTCAGAAGCTTTAATGAATGGAGCTTATTCATTGGCTATACCATTGAGAACATTAGAAACATTTACAAGTCGAGAAGATGCAGAGAAAATTTTACATGAGAATAGCTATAAATATTTAGGAAACACCTTTATTTATTTGATAAAACACAAGTATTTTGATCAGTTAAGGAAATTAATAGATAATAAAGTTCCATCTATGTTGGAACCTACTTCTGTTGCACCAACTCCAATTTCAAAATGTTTAGTGGATATGATTAAACGACCCTTAGATTTAATTTCATTTCTAGAACAGGAAGATAGTTTTTCTATGCTTGTTTTACAAGAACTTTGTAGAAGTATATTATCTCCAAAAATGTCTGATCCAATAAGAATGTTTATCATTCCATCATTGTCAGAATTTATAGAATTTCCATATACTCAATTAATTAAATGTATCAATAGAATTGAAATAGAACCAACAATGAGTTTACTTTATTCCATTTTATCTCTGGAATCAAATCGATTTTGTAAGTCTATTACTTCAGATTAAGTTAATGAAAGCAAACAAAAATTTTAATTAATAGGATTTTCTTATCATTGCAGCTACATATGAATCTAAAGATGTCCTTATTAATTATTTACAAGTTCTGGCATCTATGAGTTCAACTATAATATCGTCGGTTGCTGAAGAAGACATAGAACTAGCGAACGATTCGGACTCAGATTCATCTAATGTAACTATGATAGACCAAGAACAAGCCGATATTTTGCATGAATGTATAGAAATGTTGAATGAACAGCAACGTGTTCAAGGAATACTCCAAGCGGTAGATAAAAGCAAAGATCCAGCTATATTGCAACCATTATGCCAACTTTGTCATCATTTATTGATCACTGACAAATTAGCCATTCATAAATATAAATTGTTATATATGCTTGCTTTTAAGCCATTATTTTTAAAGAATTTATGGACTGCTTTGTTATCGGCTTGCCAAATGTCACTATTCGGTGGAGCGACTCCCCTCTTGCAAATCATATCTCGGGGAATTGGTCTTTCTACTGAAGATGCGAAAAAAATAGTTCCACTGCTAGCCGTATTTTGTTCGTTATTTAGTTTACTTATTGCAACGTTACACGACACAGAATTTTTTATCCAAGAACAATCATTAGATCCTAGCGGGCAACAAGCAATGCCGTTTACAACTTCAGAATTGGTATTGTTGTCAAGCCACTTAAAGGGCGTTTGCTTAGGTTTAGTTGAACTTGCATTTCCCGATAATCGGCCGACCGTACGAGATGACTATAATAGAGCTGTTCTTGGACCCTCGTGCTCAACTCTACAAAAACAACAAAACACGCAAATGTGGACACATTTGCTTAAAGTAACAGTCAATTTATTACGTCAATTGCATATGCGAGATTTGAGACGACAGTTTTGCCCAGAAGGACATTGGATCGCTTCAAACATTGTAATAACAATTGATAAACCTCAAGATTTCACATTTCGTAGACGTAGACTGAGGCCATATATCCCCTTTCAAGGACTACGAATGTTTACCCGAGGAGAACTAGAGGAAGGGCCGCTGCTTTCTGCAAAAGAAGTTCGGACATTGACGCTCCTTCGCGAAATACCATTTGTCGTACCGTTTAATAATCGAGTAATGGCGTTTCAATCATTGATTTATCGGGATAAAACAGAACAACAAGGTGAACTAACGCACTTCATGCAAGGACCATCGATAAAAATATCGGTAAGAAGAAACTATCTTTACGAGGATGCGTTTGAAAAACTATCACCGGAAAACGAGCCAGAATTGCGATTAAAAATGCGCGTACAATTTTTCAATACAGCTGGTTTAGAAGAAGCTGGTGTAGACGGTGGTGGTCTGTTTAGAGAATTTTTATCGGAATTATTAAAAACAAGCTTCGACCCTAACAGAGGCTTTTTCAGGCTCACCAAGGATAATATGTTATATCCAAATCCTACAGTACAATTATTGGTTGATGATTTCCCGAAGCATTATTATTTTATCGGTAGAATTCTTGGGAAAGCTTTATACGAGAATTTATTAGTCGAACTTCCGTTTGCAGAATTTTTTCTATCAAAAATCGTTGGTCGTCAATCAGACGTTGATGTTCATCATTTACCTTCTTTAGATCCGGTTATGTATAGAAATCTTTTGTACTTGAAAAGCTACAAAAGCGATGTTGCGGATCTTGGTTTGGATTTCACCGTACTATCAGATGAACTAGGTGAAAGACGCATTGATGAATTGAAACCAGGCGGTGCTAATATTCCCGTTACAAATCACAATCGTATCGAATATATTCACCTAATGGCCGATTATAAATTGAATAAACAGATTCGAGCTCAATGTTATGCATTCAAGCAAGGTGTAGGTAGTGTAATTCCTCTGGATTGGCTTCAAATGTTTAATAATAAGGAACTACAAGTTTTGATATCGGGTGCAAAGATCCCTGTCGATGTGAACGACTTAAAATTGCATACTATCTACACAGGAGGATATACAACGGATCATCCGACAATTACTTCGTTTTGGAAAATTGTTAATGAATTTAACGACCAGCAGAAAGGACAATTACTCAAGTTTGTTACGAGCTGCAGTCGACCGCCTTTACTTGGATTTAAGGTACAAGCGGTTATTTCTTTTTTGATGACTAATTAATAGGTACGTGTATGTATGTATAAATAGATAGGCATATATATACATATATGTTTGTTAATTTTTTTTAGGAACTTGATCCACCCTTTTGCATTCAGCATGCTGGCAGTGTTGATCGCTTGCCAACTTCCAGTACCTGTATGAATTTGTTAAAGCTACCAGAATTTCCAGACGAAAAAACTCTACGTGAAAAACTTTTATATGCAATACAAGCTGGTGCAGGTTTTGAATTGAGTTAAGCTCAATTATTTTTCTTTCTTCTTTTTTCTTTTTTTTTTTATTTTAAACGAATTCTTTTGAGTAAATCGACGATACCTGACTGTATATAAATTATAAACGTAATTAAAAACACATACTTAAGAACAAAATGCAAATATGAAACTTGCCATAATTCCACAACTATGGATAAGCAATTCGATTCGATTTTAATTACAGTAAGTGCTTTAAATGTACTGTGTTTATCTATAACAAAAAATAAGGACAAAATGGATTTTATTTGAACAACTTTTTTCCTCCCCACCAGAGGACAGAGGAACTTAAAAAATTTTTGTCGACTTAGGCAATAAACATGTAGTATTGTCAGAATGGGCCAACTAATTGCCGGTAATGTCTGGATGAAGGAGCCGATTATCAATACATTGAACAAATGTGTATTGTTTGTAAAAAATACGTTATTTTTCCCTCTTTTTCCCATACCG